AGTGTTATGCATCGTATGAATGACAGCAAGAACACAGACAGGAGCACTAAATCTGTTATGTATCGATACCAGTCCGTGGTCAGACAGAATACTGTCTTACTTTCAATTGTGTATAAAACCGTTGCTCCTAGTGTCCTATATACTTCATACCTTACCTTAATATCTCGCCTCTATATAAATTACAATACAGAAGTATAGTAATACCTCCATTTAACAAATCTCTGGAGAGGGGAAACTCTAATTCACGAATATTACATAAAAAATCGGTACTTAAAAATATTCGTTAAATCTGAGTGTTAGTAAGATATAGGAACGTTAAACCAAAATATCACTCTATATACGTATGGTACATATGTTTTTATTTCACCAGGCCATACTGTATAGATATATGGCTCATGTATACAACTGTCAGTTACCATTCTATTCGTAGGAGCCCATGTATTCTATATTAACATGAGGCAAAACACCGTCAATACGATTATACCAGTATGAAACGTGCATAATGTGCAAAAAAGTAATCACGCTATATAAAAATTACTGATATGAATATCATATTCATTGGACAAAATGAGCAGATGTTTATCAACGATCACTTGAAGCGTAATAAACATCTTAATTTAAACTGTTTACCCAATAGTCGCCCTGTCACGATCGGAGAAAGCGTGCAAACCGGAAAATTCAGTAGGGCGCTTCTGATCGTTCAGAGCCTGGTTGACGGTGCTGTTGTCCAGAACAAGAGTTGCATTCTGGAGAGCCATAAAGGCAAAATCCAAAGAAAGTTCCGGCTGCTGCCCATAACTAATAAAATATGAATAGTTTGATTGTGCGCTAGTAATCGTACTAAAATACATTGTGAACATGGACCATTTCAAAACGAGCCAAATAACTGATTTATTGGATATTAGTTTAATTCGCTTTAAAACCATATCCGGCACAAGCAAAATATAATCAAATAATTAACTTATAAAGCGAAAACCAATAACAGTCTTAGGAAAAATGAAGCTGTAGGAACCCTAGAACGATATTCGATCATCAGCGGAACGATAATCATAAACAAGGGAAGCACAGTAAACAATGTGGAAGTCACAAGAAATCTAAAAAACTAGGAGGAACGTGATTTAACACTAGAACGGTAAAGGGCCAAGCAAAAGAAACTAGATGAAAAGAAAGAGATCAACTGGAAAACAATGTAGGTAGCTTCTTTATTAATAAATTACAACTAGCAAACGCTTGCAGCTATTATATGCTCGACCAACCAACAATAGACCCAGGTGAAGGTCAAAAAGAATTCAAAGCAAGTACCCCGACAGATTCTGTGTTAAACTCTTGTTATGCTATTCTGAAAATGAAATGATAGCACTGAATCGCGAAGTTCGGAGACGCTGCGACACTGCTACCTCCAAACCGAAAGGATAAGCTACACTCGGCATATTTAATTTATCAGCATATTCACTAAACCCATTTAAAATCTGATTTAACGTTGCACTGCACTGTTCGATGCCCCTACATCTCTTCTTGTAGCCACTTAGAGTTAAATACACGAAGGACCAACAACCTACTTAAATCGTCCCAATTATCTACGGCTAAGAACTAGCAGCACGTCTTGAAACTAAGTTTTTGAGGAGTTAAGCATTTTAAAGCATCCTTAGGTATACAGTTCCATCACTGCTGTAACAATTTTAAAATTATTCAACTAACCAGTGTTCAGCATTCATAGATATTGCGCCGGTTATGACACTTTCTCCATTCTTCTGTTATTCGTACCTTCCTTTGCCACAGTGGTCCTTTGAAGCTAGACATTACATAGTCCCGTCTTTTTGGATAGGAACCTAGCGATCTTTTATGATCCCACGGGTATCACCCGATGATAGTAATTGCCAATCGGTGGTCACGAAGCCGAACAACCTGCCCAGAACATCGCATGTGACGATGACATCTCCCATCTCTCAGTGGGATAACTGCACTGGAGACAAAACGAGATTCGTAAAATCTTCTTTCCACCGCTCATTCGGTTGTGAGATGGCGTTCCTCTTGTTTCGTCAGCAACCATGTTTCAAAGCCATACAGCATCGCTGGACAATGTGATTGCTTTGAAGAAACAGACCCACGTCTGTCGGTCTTTCCAAAATAGATATCATCGATGAAGTTGAACGCCCGCGAACTGCTTTCTTTCTACACCGGATTTCGGGCTTCTGATCATCTCCATGTTGACCTTATGGTTCAGAAAGACGATTTCTTCCACACCTTATCCATTAACCATTATTTTGGTCTTCTGGAGCCAGAATTCACGGACTGAATGTACTGTCTTCGATGGACTGATCATTTAACTTGACTTAACAACTTTCTTTGTCGAGGACTTTTTGTAGCAATTATGTCCCAGGACATTATATTAAAAGATATATTTAAAGTAAATTTTAGCAATTCGATAGTTATGAGTTCAGATTGGCGACTGATGTTAGGTTATCACAGTATTCCATTGCCATCATTTCAACCAAATCGGGGCAAACGATCAGCTAATGAAGATGTCAAAGTTATACGAAAAAATTAATTACAACTCATGCTCCGGAGAGGTAAAACGAACTAAGCCAAATTTTGTGATACAGAGATTCAATGATAAGCAACTTCAGCTTATCCATCCTCTAATCGATCACGGTGACCTCAATGTCA